ATCGCGAAGATTCTAGCAAGAAAAAACAGATTCTTACTAGATTTTGATCACAAAAAAAAAACTGCTTAGCAAAAATATTTTTTGTTTCCTGTCACTAGAATCTGATGAGAATTTCTAATGAGTATATTTAGACAGAAAATTGTTGGTGATTTATTCAACAATTAGTATTTGGGGATCCTGCATGGTTTTAAGTGGCATTCATATGCTATATTCATAGCTGTATGGTTAATGGTTCAGGAGTATCATGAATATATGCATCGCCTGGCTGTCTGTTTGCTAGATACTATATATTTATATATATAATTACTACTCTTATAATACATTACAGATTTTGATGAGTGTGATAGTAACCCATGTTTAAACGGAGCTTGGTGTCTGGATAATGTAAATGGATATATCTGTATGTGTGGACCAGGTTTCATTGGAACCAACTGTGAAGTAGGTAGGTATACTGGTAATATATACTTGTTAGTGGTACAGTTCTGACTATTGTTGGTAAATAAATTTATGTGCTCTATTTTCATTAATTACATACATCAGTTCTCGTACATGGAACAAGGGTTAAGATCTATCAGTTACATGTTGTATTTTAAAATTTATCCCCCAAATCAAATCAAATCAAATCAAATCAAATTAAATTAAGTTAAATTAAATTAAATTAAATTAAATTAAATTAAATTAAATTAAATTAAATTAAATTAAATTACTAGTATAATTAAATACAGTAATAGACTAGGCTTATAGATGTTACACCTTGAATGAAATTCTTACCGTATTTACTCTATTAGAAGAATGAATAAACATGAATAATTTGTTAAAAACTTTTGTTTCTTGTCCTAGGAAAAATTGAAAAATAATGCAGTTGAATTATCTTTTTTGTATTAAGATTATTCTATACCACTACAACAAGATACATGTTCAACATTTATTAAATAATGCTTTCAGGTATGGTATATGCATTGAAAGTTTATTTGGATCCTCGGAAACAGAAAACAAACATTTCCTCATTTTACCATATGTGATACACTTTACCATTATACACAATTGCAAACAAAGTTTCAAACTCAAGCGTGTGATGACCATAAGCAAAACCTTTTTTATTAGGGCCTGAAATAAATCAGAGTAATATTATTGTATTGTAGTAATATTGTAATAGAGAACTTATTTTTGTTTCAAACCTGTAATGTTTTGATAATTTCACTAGATGTAAATGAGTGTTCAAGTTCTCCGTGTTTGAATGGTGCAGAATGCTTAGATGAAGTGAATGCATTTGTGTGTTCCTGTGTTCCTGGTTTTACTGGTACCAACTGTCAAACAAGTAAGTTAACATCACTTGCTGGTTTCATTGTCACAATGTATTACTTAAAAAGATAAGTTTGAGGTTCTTGTAATGCTACCATTTGCAGTTAAAATTCTCATCTCATAGCCTATGTGTACTCATTTGTGGCCATTAAGAGACATTACTATATCAGCTTCTGTTTTGTACCAAACATATTATTCTGTATGCATCCAGATTACTTTTGAAAATTTATGAAATATTCATAACATATGAAAAACATTTGGTTTAATTCACAGTGACCAATGATTTATAACAAGTATATCCTTAATTTCTAGCAGTACAAAATTTATAAACATCTGTCTCTTGTGAAATTTCAGATGGGAATAGCGTGACTGTTTTTGTATTAAATTCAACACTTAATTGTCATGTGGAGTCTTTCATGTTGTGTTTGATTCTAATTTGTGCATGTGGTTGACACAATGCACTGTATACTTATGGAGAATGTGAAATTAAAAAGCATTGCAACAGAAATGAGATGTGGCAGTAAATAACACACAACGATTACATTTGTAGCTTGTGTCCACAAACATTTAGATTGCAATTTACTTGCAATATACACACTAATCTGTCCTTGGTTGTAAATCGTATTACAATTCAGTTTGTGGAATACTAGTATACATTTAACATGTTTATCCTGTATATTATTATCTTATTAGACATAGATGAGTGTTCTTCGTCACCGTGTCAGAATGCCGGTATCTGTCATGATAGTATAGATGGATTTGCTTGCATATGTGAACCTGGATTTAATGGTGACCTATGTGAAAATGGTGAGTCTCAAATTACACAGAATTGTGATGAAAGTACTAAACATAGACAGAACTTGTCAATTAAACATCCTACCAAATAATAACAAATTCTGCATTAATCAAATTTATCAGATTTACTTTAATTTACAATTTCTATTTAGTTTCTACTTACCATTTATGCTCCATTAGTAGCACATACTATGGTCTTAATGAGTCATATTTTCATAATTCAACCATAACTTCTATTGTAATTTTTGGTTTACATGCACTTCTAATAGAGCAAATTTCAATTATATATATAAGTACTGTGAAACTTGTCTATCTAGCTAACATTCAGCTAATTTAGCTAATCTGTAATTTCTCTAATTCAAGATGTTGCTAATTTAAAATAAAGGATATTCTCACAATGAGTTGACATTAAATTAGAATGCTGTTAAAATTTGCTAAAATGATATTTCAGTTTGTTTTACAGTATTAGAATTGTCTAAATCCATTGGAATTAACTTTTAAGTTCTTATACTGTATTCTAAATTATTTTTAAGATATTAACGAATGCTTAGGCTCACCATGTCAGAACAGTGTAGAGTGTACAGACAAGGTCAATGGTTATACATGTGTTTGTGTTGCTGGATATTCTGGGATACATTGTGAGACTGGTAAGTAGACACCAAGGTTACCATAACAACATACTGCTGATAACCATACTTTAAAATTAAATTTTACACATATATAGTGTAAATTTAAAGTTTTTCACCATTGGACACTGAGGGTGCTGTGTCAAATTATGTCCTGATTGAGCATATCTTGCCAACTCAACACTGAGGGCGCAGTGTCAAAATACGATGTCATTATTGGGCAAAACATTGTTGTTTGGCTGTAGGAATAAGAATATGTGAGTTTAAAATGGATATAATTATTCTAATGAACTGTAATTTTTACGACTAGTGTTGCAAAAAACCTGCAACTAGCAATGACAATCCTTGATACGATATCATACTTAGAAAGAGCACCCTCAGTGTTATGCTGAGGAGAACCATTACAAGAAGATATGACAGTCTTTAAATTTGGTTTCCCAAAACAAAAATGATGATAAAAATACCTGATATGAAAATATCATTTTATTACAGATATTAATGAATGCTCCAGCTTTCCCTGTCAGAATGGTGGAGAATGTAAAGATGAAGTCAACAATTATATTTGTGTTTGTGTTGATGGTTATGAAGGAAAGAATTGTGAAAACAGTGAGTGTAATATCTCTTTAATCTGGTCACCATTGGCTTAGCTATGTGTGTACGCATTCCTGTAATTGCAGTTTAACAAATAAACTGTTATTTGTATATTAAGTCAAGGAACTATGTGTTACCGATGTATAGTAATTTAACAACATTTTGAAGCATTGTTTTTATTATTCGGAGATATTGATTACATGGGTACTTGAGAAATGATATGTGATATGTCATTGACATTAATTTTAATATTTCATTGTTTTCACTGGATTCTAATTTACTAATTTTACAGCGAAAAAAAGTTATTTTATGTTCATGTTGATCTAATTTTAACGGGTTTCATTAACTTGTTTTTTAGATACTAATGAATGTTTGAGTTCACCTTGTATCCACGGAGGAACGTGTCATGACGCTATTGATAGCTATATATGTCAGTGTATGATTGGATTCGTAGGAAATAACTGTGAGACTGGTAAGTTAACATCGATAATAATTTATCAGCACATATGTATACTGTAAAATTACTAATTTTCACTGGGTTTAAATTTCGCTGATTTAGCCTTTCAGGCATATTCAGTGGGTTTTAAATTCACGGCTTTATCATTTAGTTAATGTGTTCTATGCTAAATTTTACATATTCATTGGGTTTTAATTTAGCGCATTTTCCAGTCAGCGAAATAAGCAAAATTATAACCCAGTGAATAATTAATCTTTTCACAGTATCTAATGTTGTATTGTTCTTAAAATTTGTTTTCAAATCTTTACTATTTCAAATAAAATGTATAAATAAATTCAATAATTTATTCTGTATTCACAGGATATCCACATCAGAAATTTCTTGTCAACATCACCTAGCAGGTGAGTTTCAGCATGTTAATGTACAGTCATCAAGTCAACAAAAAATTCTCATTGGATTCTCAGTTCTGAGTTAAATCACCTGAAAAACCCCTCTCACAGTAAACTCTGAGGGCTTCAGAGTTATGAACGCTTTACTTACTTGTGAATGCCATAACATTCATTTTAGGTCAATTAAAATTAAATGAGCTTTCAAATTTTCGCTGACACTACAGCTTTACATCGTGTAGCTTTATATGGACATGGTATTTCACTTTAATACTGTACTTTTATACTCTTTTCTTTTGTATAGTTTGACAACAAATTTGCTTGAAAAATGCATTTATTTACCTCTAAGGTTTATTCAAATTCTATGTTGTACTTGGGAGATTGACTTTATAAAAACACAATTGATCCTAAATATTTCACTGGCTTTTATCATCTGATATCTGCCTTGCATGTCATCTTACACTTGTATTTTTTTATTATAATAAACAGATGTAGAAGAGTGTTCATCAAGTCCGTGTTTGAATGGTGCTACATGTGTGGATCAAATTGGTAGATATGTATGTGTGTGTGCTCCTGGTTTTGTCGGCAATCTGTGTGAAACCGGTAAGTCATTTCTCACCGAACATCATCGTGATATATCCAAGTGGTAAATACATTTATTAACTTTTATATATTTGAGTATTACCATGACAGGCGTCAGGCTAAACAGCAGAAGAATAACGTTCTAACTGAACAGTACAATGTAAAAAGATACCTGAAATATTTGCCTGTTACGATATTATTATTGAACTATTACCCGTATTTACACATCAGTCGGTATTCCCTTTGTACTGCATTGATGCATACTTTGCGTTCTTCTTGCAACAACCTCTTCTTATTATACAAAATCTATATCTACGTACAACGTAAATTTGCAACAATGTAAATTCCAGATATGCAGTATAACCAAGATGGCAGGCATTTTTTCAAAACCTGAAATTAAGTTATAAACTTCTTTCACCTAGCAATTGAATTTATGTCCTATATAACTTTATTATTTATAATATTAATAATTTAAGTAAACATATAAAATACAAGGTTATATATTTATTTTTTGTTTGTTAATTTGTAAATTTCAGATATTAATGAATGTGCTTCAACTGCGTGCCAGAATAACGGTCAATGCATCGATGATATTAATGGGTTCACGTGTGACTGTCTAGATGGATTCGAAGGAGACTTTTGTGAAACAGGTACTGGACGGAATCATCTAGTGTGTCTAGCAATATTTATTACTGAGATGTAATATTATTTATATCCATACATAATATTATATAATTATTTCTATGTAGACATCAATGAATGTGATAGCAGTCCATGTCAGAATGGTGGTCAGTGTATTGATAATGTAAATGGCTACACATGTGAATGTATCCCTGGTTTCCATGGCGTCAATTGTCACACAGGTATTAATTATTCAATTATCATAAATATAGAAATATTTGAACTTAAATTTGAGCTTGCGATGGAGTGATAATTCATTTGTATCAAATCCACTATAACATGATTTTTTTCTTCTTGTAACCATAGAAACTGCTGAATGTGCAAGTGATCCGTGCATTAATGGTGGAAATTGTACAGATATTTTCAGTGGATTTATTTGTATATGCCCTCTGGGATACACTGGAAAAAGTTGTGAAATCGGTAAATATTAAAATAATATTATGTGTATGTGAATTGACTAGAGTGGTATTATGTTTGTTACACCATTTTGTCTGTGGCTGTGTTATGTTTGTCACACCATATTGTCTGTGGTTGTATTGTATCATAGACCCTACTATATGCTGGTACATTACTGTTAGTAGTGAATATGATTCACATTTGTAATGTTCTCTATGAAATATCACTGTGTTTAGTTCTTTTAGGATGAAATATTTCACCATAGAAACCACAAATTGAATATCTTACCATTCAAATATATACTTTTGTGCAATGACTTCAAAATTCTTTTTATTCTTTGCATGGAATGACATTTTTGAAAGTACATGCCATATTCAATACATTGGAAGTGTATAAACCATAAATCCAATTCATTTTGTACATTAAAACATTCATTATTTTGACCATACAAACTGTAATGTACAGAAGTGCATACATTACTAATAGAGCAATATGAGAAAATTGATGCAAAATGTTGTTTTTCAGTCTTTAATTGCAGTTTGGTTTTGAAAATTCTTTCTTTTTAAAGTGTTTCTTCTTGCAACACAGTGATGATTTTGATCATTTTTAGTCCCTGTTCGGTCGCAGTCCGAAAACGGGGACTTGTGTTTTAACCTTCGTGTGTGCGTGTGTGTATGTGTGTGCGTGCGTGTGTGCGTCTGTGTGTGCGTCTGGACCTGTATCTTAGAAATGCCTGGACCAATCACAATCAAACTTCACACATACATCATACATGATATTATACATATGCACGTCAATTTGTTTCACGATCTGATTCAAGATGGCCGAATGGCGACCATTTTTGTGCTAAAAATCATCAAAATCAAGCATTTCTCGGCTGTTTACAGATAGATTTTGTTCAAACTTGGTATATACATTAGACATTATAGGACCTTGATGCACATCATTTTGTTTTATGATCTGATTTATGATGGCCGAATGGTGGCCATTTTTGTGCTAAAAAATCCTAAAAATCGAGCATTTCTCGGCTGTTTACAGATGGACTTTGTTCAAACTTGGTATATACATTAGACATTATGGAACCTTGATGCAAATAATTTTGTTTTTCTGATAAGATTCAAAATGGCCGACTGGCGGCCATTTTGTTTTAATGAATGTGGTTCTCGTGCCATATCTCTGACTTGCTTTCACTGACTATGTTCAAATTTTAAATATTCATTATACATCATGTCATAGATATATTGGTTTGACAATCCTATTCAAAATGGCCAAATGGTGGCCATTTTTGTGCTAGAAAAAAATCAAATATCAAGCATTTCTGGATGGATTTTGTTCAAACTTGGTACATATATTAGACATTACAGGTTCCTGATGCACATCATTTATTTTTCAGATCGAATTCAAAATGGCTGTCTGGCAGCCATTTTGTTTTAATGAATGGGCTTCTAGAGCCATATCTCTTAAATGCTTTGACTGATTATATTCAAATTTTATATATTCGTTATACATCATGTTATATATATATACATGTATTCAAAATGGCTGATATTCCAGCTATATTACTATAAACAAAACTATATATCTTAAATTTGATAACTAACTGGGACTGTGCTATGCATCGCTTGTTGTTTTTTGACAGACATTGATGATTGCAGTAAAAATGTTTGTGAGAATTCTGGAAGGTGTATTGATGGGGTGAATATGTACACATGTTTGTGCACACCTGGTTGGACAGGAGATATCTGTGATATCAGTAAGTATGCAATTTTATGTCTGAATATATCGTTAAACTTGAACTTGGGGAACTGTTTAATAATTCTTGTACAGCTCTGTGTAAATCAACAATGAAAAGTGGTACAAAAAAACAATTCCACGTACTGTGTTTATGTTGTTCATTTGTTGTTATTATACATCCGACAGTAATAACTTTAAAATTCAGTACGTCATTTGTAAAATCCTATTCCAGCAAACAGACATGTTTGTATAGTGTTATGGTGGGAATTCCATATATAACGTCATGTCTACATTGGAAGCACCATCAATGTATTGGATGACAGAAATACAATCCTGTTAACTGATTGCATACTGCAGACATGAATCTCTTAAAATGCTTTTCATTGGGCATAGACCTCTATTACATGATGGTTAATCACGGAGCTGTCTTCATGCATACTTTGTATTCTTGCTGTTAAGAAGTTATAATAACTGAGCAGACTAATTTATGTTTTCCACCTAGGGATTAATCCATGCAATGATATGCCTTGTGCTAATAATGGTTCATGTATTCACACTGGGATTGGCTTGCATACTTGTACATGTATAGAAGGTTTTATTGGTACTTTGTGTGAAATTGGTAAGTATTAAACTTTATCAAAGTCACATGTTGTAAAACTGTCTTTTAGCAAATAGTTATTGCAGATGTGAATTGGTGTGCAACTAAAAGTGATCGAAAGTGGTTATATATACAGCATCTAGCTAATGTGTTAACTATACATTGTGTTGGTAGCCTTATGTGAGAATAAGATTGAATCTTGAGATATGATGTGAATATACTTAATATAGTTTTGTTTGGTTTTAGATATAAATGAATGCAGTAGTCTACCGTGTTTGAATGGAGCAACTTGTAACAATGAAAATGGACATTATACTTGTACCTGTATGAATGGCTGGACTGGTATCAACTGTGAAACAAGTAAGTTTATTATCTACGGTATATATCGATATTTTTATAATAATGGCTCTAAAATATGCTGTGTGTATACAGGTTTATTTCCTCTATTCTAATTACATTGTGTGTTCTTTACAGGTACGTATTGTGATATTGAAGGCACATGGTACAATCAACTTGATACTGAACTAGTACTTGAAAAAACCAGTAATGGAATGTTACTTGGAAAGTATCATACAGCCTATGAACGATACATTCTTGGCTACACTTCAGGTAAGTAGTATAATTATTCTTGCAATACAGCTTAAATATTTTTCATTTCTTACAACTTTTTAGCTGTTGACTTTGTCGAGCGGAGCTTATCATATGAGTGATTGTCCGTGTCAATGTTTTACTTTTTCGACTTCTTCTTGAAAACTACAAGCCTGAATGCTTTGATACTTAGTGTATATGTACCTTGGGTAGACCTCTCTCAGATTTGTTCATTTCATGATCATATCTTCAATTCTCTAATTTTGGTGAATATTTTTGACTTCTCGTTAAAAACCGCAAGTATAATTACTTTGATATTATATAGGTACAACATGTGGACCTCTCTCAGATTTGTTCATTTTGTAATGAATTTTCTAATTTTGGTGAATATTTTTGTCATTTTTGGTAAAAAGTGATATTTTCGACATCTTGTTAAAAACCTCAAGTCCAATTGCTTTGATATATTATACATATAGGTACTACATGTGGACCTCTCTCAGATTTGTTCATTTTCTAATGATATCTTCTGTTCTTTAATTGCCATATGCATTGCTAACAGCGGAGCTATCTCAGCCGACGGGCTGCTTGTTTATGTATTACAGTACAGGGTCCATAGCATTGGGAAAATCCTTTGAAAGTCTTTTGATTTTTTGAGGTCTGGAAAGTCTTTGAGTTGTCTTTGAATTACAGGAAAAATAAAAAAATCTGTGAAAAGTCTTTAAATTTCTTCATAGTTATTAATTAATTAATTTGCTCCAGGGAACTACCATATCCTCAGAACTTTGATGAGCTTTGGTGATGGTGTTGGCCTGAATTGTGGGTCAAAATGTCTGGAAAAGCCTTGAAAATAATTTGGCTCTTGGTGCTATAGACCCTGTATTAGAACTAGGAAGGTTTATTTTATTAATATATAATATGTGAGCATCTGATTTATAAACAATTGTGGCACAAAATTAAAATATTCACATGACAGATCTTTTTGTCATGTAGATTCTTGAACAATGCATTCAGCTTGGTATTCAGATGAGCTGTTCTAGATTGGGTGTGACTACACAAAAGTGTCTAGCATGCAAAATAATCCACATCTACATTCTTTACTTATTCACACAACTTCACACATCTTCATTCTCCAATAAAACAAATATACTACATGTAAACTCATCTGTCAGAGTTTACTTTGAAATTACTATTATCATTCAAAATGAATGCAAATACTCAACATAGGTGCCACTGTATTCCCTGCAAATGCTAGCCCTTATAAACAAATAGCGACGGTCGGGTGGTGTTCCCTGCGGTGACTGGCCTCTATCAAGTACCATGCTAATCTCTCCGTGATGTGAACCAAATCTGAGACTCGCAACCCGGAGCAGGTTTTGGTGATGACGCTTGACTCTGGCTCACACCTCTTCTGCCCTCAGCCAAGACTTGGTCTCTATATAGTGTTGTTTCTTAGCATTAATGAATAATAAAGATACAATGCTGATAACTTGACAGAAACAAAACATAAACTAAAATATACATCTCATCTCTACAATTTAACATTATATCGAAATTCAAAGTATGTATCTTTCAGTTTTTATGATGAAATACTATTTTATTTTAGTTCTGACTTTAAAACTTACATCCTATTATTCACATTCATTAGATGCTATCTTAGTTGTTGGTTATTGTGATACTACAACCAATTTCCCAACATTTGGATTCAGTGTCATACATAACCATGGCGATGAGACAAAAAGTTGGACTGGTCAATGTCAGATGTGTGATGATGAAGAGGTGCTTTTAACAATGTGGGTATCAACAGAAAAAACGTCTGCTTGTATGGAAAATGCAATGGCTAATAAGTAAGTACAAGAATGACACATTCCATGAACTTATCATTTATAGAATATAACTCAACAAATAATGTGTAACTTTGATACCAAGAAGCACAGGACAACATATCGACTGTGTCAAACATCGTAGACATGATTCCATGATGATTCCTCAAGCCAGTCTTGAATATTTGACACAGTAAAACATTGTTCCTATAGCCACACTTCACAGTGTTCAACAAACAAACATTTTTGTCTGTAAGCTTTAATATCGTTGAAATTCCTTTGAATTGTATGACATGATGACTCAATTTTGAACACTCTGTGAACTGTCTGTTTATACTCAATATCAATTTCTGGCATTTAAAATCATGGCTAACGATTTTCACATTTCTACAATTACCAGCCAAACTTTGTGTGAAGTTGCCATCCCTTGTCTGTTTTTTCTACTACCGTAGGTATCTACAATGTATACTACTGCTGTTTTCATATACTGGACGCAATTTACCCCTGATTTTCATCTCCACTTACATACATCCTCATCTTATAAATTCATGTGTAACTTGATGTGATATGATGTTGCAAGAACACCACAAAGTATTGACATATCACATGGAATTTACATGATATATTTGATAAATCGTGTTTTATTCTCATATCAAACAGATGTTCACACTTTATTTCAGAGTTGGCAGTGATAAATGGACTCGTTATTCACAAGGTCTTGCTCCCAAGAAAGAAGAAGAATCAAATGCAGCTGTTATAAATCTATAATTTCATCTTTTTTTCATGATCATGTACTTAATTTGTTGTGTTCTGTACTCAGTAATAAATGTTGATACACATCTAAATATTCAATATATTCAAGGAGTGGGGGCCAGGAGGTGGTGACTCAGCTATAGCAATGGGGATAGACTGAGATGAGTTGGCCTTACAATGATGTTTCTTAACAAATTTTTTACTTCATTCAGCATATCAGGGATTCAAAGGCAATACAAAATCCTGGATGGCTTTCAAGCTTGAAGTGTCAGCCTCACAGTGATGAAAATCATCACGTATCGGTAGTATCGTTCCAATTGATGCACAAACCACATGGTAAATTGTGATTGCAGAATCTCTTGCTGATGTGACATGAGTAAAAGTTGATTGTCAACAAAACTGCCACTTTCAAAAGGTAGACTTTTTTTTTTTTTTTTTTGATAAATATTTTTTATTACCCATAAACAAAAAATTACAGGACTTTAATAAATACAGTAATAAACAAAACAAAAAAGTAAAACAAAACAAAAAAACAAACAGATTACTAAGTAACTCCAATTGTATTAACAAATTTTGGATTGTAAGATGCACAAACCAACATTAGGTAAAGTTTCCCCACTTCACCTGAAACAATTCGATAGTGCTATTTTTACTACATATACAATATTCCATTTCTTTTGTTTCCATAACTTTTTTTCTACCAGACGAAATGAAGGTGAAGTGCCATTTAATTTACAGGAATAAATAATTTGTTTAGTTATAATAATGATATGGTTCAATAAACTTGAGAACTGATCATTGCCCAGCAAAATTTGAATATCTGTGAAAGTGTCTGGGGTATTTATAAATTCACCCCATCTATTACATATTGATGTCCAAAGGATAGTTGCATGTAACGAATAAATGTGTTAGAGTTTCATCGCTATTATGACAAAATGAACAAAGGCTAGAGGTGACGAGAGGAGTTCTCATACGGTGAAGCATAGTATTCGTAAATAAAACATTATGATTTAGTTTCAACTGGAATTCTTGGAGTTTTGTTTCAATGGTAACTCTAAATGGTAACTTGAAAATAATTTCCCACTTAATTTCATTTAATTGAAACAACTGCTGAAAATAAGTTTTACATTTTGGTGGAATAAAATAAAGAGATGAAAGAGCATTCCGTATTAATTTACATGTTGCCATATTCAATGGACAAAATATGTTGTTAATGTACAAACCAATAGGCAATTCTGGTCTAACGAAAAAGGGAGTACAGCCTCTCCATTCTGGTGATATAGCGGAAATTATGCCGTGCCAAAGAAGATATTGTCTAGGAGTAAATCCAATTTCTTGTAGTTGTGTCCAATTTTTTATTTTTCCATTTGAAATATAAAGGTCCGAGATATGGACAATGCCCTTTAAAATGAAATCTAGATAACAATTCATAACAATTGATAACATTCATTGAGAATGTTGGCGTTATTCCAAATTATATTGTTAGCAACTGTTTGAACTGGTTGCTGGCATTGTAATTTCCTCCAATTGCACAATAGACTGTGATAGAAAGGGGGTAGGAGTAACAGGTAATAGCTCAATTTTATAATTACATCTAAAAATTAAGGAACCACCAAGGGGAAGCAGATAGTGTGATAAAAAAAAGTTTCCAGGGATGATTAATTTTTGGATTAAGAAAGTGCTGGACCCATTTAACTCTGAAAGCGTGATAAAGAGCAAAAATGTCCAGCATATTTAGACCTCCCTGGCCAACATCCCCAATCAAAGTGTTACGTGCAATTCTGTCTGGGCCTTTCCAAATAAATTTATGAAGTTTATTATTTATTTTTTCTCGTACCTGTAAGAAAAATATATACCAACAATTTTGATTGGAGTTTATGGCCAGAGAACCCCAAATGGTTTATCCGTACGAGACCCAAGCCACATTGCCTCTGTTTTGTCATAATTTACGTGTAACCCTGAATATGTCTGAAACATGTTGAGGGAGAACAAATTAATGCAGGAAAGTTTGTCTGAGAGAAAGCAGGTTAGATCGTCAGCAAATGCAGAATACTTAACCCCCTTGCCCTGAATATGAATTCCATGAATAGAGTCATCACATCACAGTGAATTCAAAACTAATTCAAGTTATAAAATAAAGAGGGCGGGTGAAACCGAGTCACTCTGTCTAACTCTCCTTCTTATAGCAAAATAGCCAGTGCTTAGACCTCGGTTCATCACACAGCTGGAGGGGTTATTGTAAAATAATTTGATCCAGTTAATAAGGGAAGGGCCAAAATTAAAACTGTTAAGGGAGTGGAAAATAAAATCCCATTCCAAGCTATCAAATGCCTTTTGAAAATCAATGGATATAAGTATTCCTAGTTGATTAGTATCTTTGGTGTAATGCATAATTGATTCAATAAGGCGTACACAGTCCCCAATTGATCTACCCTAATAATAAAGGCTGACTGCGTTTCATTAACAATTTTCGGAAGAATTTTATCAAGTCTTCGTGCAATGCATTTTGATGCAATTTTGTATTCGGTATTAAGTAAGGTTATTGGTCTCCCCTTTTTTTCGATAAGTGTGATAACCCCCTGTTTACCATGCATATATGCAGCATTTAGGGAATTTACGACAATTTCTCCAATTAGAGGCCACAATGTGCTGTAAAATTCTGGACTTAATCCATCATTACCTGGGGCTTTATTGCTTGGTAAACACTTTAGCGCTTCAAACGCCTCATTCATTGTGATAGGGCCTTCACACGAATCTCTTTCCATGGAATTTAATTTGGAGTGGGTTGTAAATATATTGTCCATATTTAATTGATTTATCCGCCTACTGCGGTATAAATTAAAGTAAAAATGTTTAATTTCTGCTTGAACATCATTTGCATTATGTAGAGATCTGTTGTTACTGTCAATCAGCATAGAAATGTGTGATTTTTTTGCATTATGGCGCTTAAGACCCAAGAAAAATTTTGTATTTTTTTCACCCTGTTCGTACCAGCTTGTACGAGAACGGATTATTGCTCCATTTGTAATGTACGCATATTCCCCCTGTAATTGTTTTGTGCGTTTTCGAGCTCATTTTGAATATTAATAGTTGGACGGGTTGACATCAATTTATCTAATTCCGATAGTTTATTTTATCTTTCCTGGCAACTGCTTTTGACTTGCTATACTTCATTGTACAGTTTTTGATTTTGTATTTAAGAAATTCCCACAAGAGTATACTGTTATTTTGTCCAAACTCGTCAACCCACGTTAAAAATTTATCCTGAATTAGATTAATAAAACTTGTATCTTCTAAAAAGCTATTATTGAATTTCCAATATGATGTTCCAAGTCTACAACGGTTATCACCAATGGTTAAAGTTATAGCAGAATGGTCCGAAAGCACACAGGGGACAATGTCTGCGACACTCACTGCTAATTGAATCGAGCTACTAACTAAAAGATAATCTAAACGGCTCTGTATAAACCTAGGTCTTAGGCGCCGCCAAGTAAAACGCTTAGTGCTGGGATTACGCAGCCGCCAGATGTCGATCAAATCAAGTTCGGAGCATATATCCTCAAATTTTGAAAGTGAATTACGCCAAAGTGTCGGGTTACCGCCCATTCTATCTTGAAGAATATCTGGTGTAAAATTATAGTCCCCTCCCCAAACAATTCACTCTCTG